AGACAAGGTTTTAAATTCCTGTTTTATTTTGTTGTATTATACCATGCTATTTGTCCAAGCACTTAAGAAAGGAGAAGAAAGGGTTAAGGTTTAACGAGCACATTCGTGTTGAAAAAGTCATAGATGTCTCCTCTTTTGTCAGAATAGAGATTTTGATCTCATGAAGAATAATAGGATGAAGATTCTTGTCCCATTTTTAGAAACACGGGTTTGGAAACCTGCATTCATCTAATCCTTCAAATTTTGCAGCGGCAGTACATTCTCTGACTGAAATGCCTAAATGCCATACCTGCTTGGAATAATATCGAGATGAAGAGGTCAGAAGGAGGTAGCCTTCTAGACCTTTCTGCTAAAGCTGTAAGGAGAGTTCGAGAGTGACAACTTCAGTAGCACTCTTGAGCTGAGAGGCTGGGAAATGAGGTCAGCAGCATCGCACTCTCAAAGAATGGCAAGGTTCGGGCTTGTAAGTGTTGGTAACCAATCTTGTGCTTATACCCCAAAGGACTTTGCCAAAAACAAAGTCTGTGCAAATTCTCTGAAGCTTTCAAAAGGTGGTGTGCGACGTCTAGTTGGTTTTCTACCTTCTTCATCTTACATAATCCGTACACACCCACTTACCCCTTTCCATCCCTATTGACGTTTTCTCTATACCTGGCCCTAGTCATCTCACACCCAGACTGTTGTACCTGCCCCTCATTGTCTTCCTTCTCTTATTCTCCCTCCATCTGGCCAAGCTAAGTTTCCTAAAATGGCTCTCCTCATGTGCCGCTGACCTGTGAAAAATGAGGAGCAGAGCCCGAGTGCCGTTCCTCGGTCTGCTCTCTGTGTGCTTCTCTGGTCCTCTCCCTTCCTCCTTCCTCCTTCCTCCCTTGCCAGTCTCAACTGTCTATACCCCTTAATCGCAAAAGGCATATCAGCACGGTGGGTGAAGGTGTGGTCCTGGCAGTCCTGTGGCCTGAGCCTGAATCCTGCCCTACCAGCCTGTGACCTCAGACAAGTTAGGTAACTTCTCTGGCCTCATTTTGCTAATCTGTTAAGGGGACAATAAGGCTGTGTAAGGATTATATGAAATACTCTAGGTAAAAGCGCGTGGAGCAGTGTCTGCCACTTAGTAAGTACTGTTAGCTACTGCTGTTATTATCACTCCGGTTCCTGTGCTTCGTTCCTGTTATTTGTTTCACTTCTTTAAGTCCTTCACTTCCTCCATGGCTCTATATTATCTTGTCTCCCATTTCCTGACAGCACTGGCTCATAGTAGGTCCTCTCTCATGTTTTCAGTTGTCTTTGCAGTACCAGTGCCATGCACAGCACTATTCCAGCCACAGAGGCCTGCCTCTGTGCCTCCGACCCTTCAGCCACAACACTCCCATCTCATGGCCTTTGTGATACTGTTTCTGCTTGGAATGCCCTTCCCCCAGATGGCTTGTGGCTGCTCCGTCATCCTGGTCTCTGTTTCCCTCAGAGAGACTTTCCCCACTATGCTATTTAAAATAGCATTCCTCTTCACCTTACATACATTACCCTGCTGCATTCTTTTTTTGTTTGTTTTGTTGTGTTTTTTGTGTTTTGTTTGTTTGTTTGTTTTTACCCTGCTGCATTCTTGTCATATTTATCACTACCAGGCAAGTAGAATTATTTTTTTCTTATCCTCCATTGGACTGCGAGCTCCGTGAGAGGATAGACTTTGTTTTGTTCACAGCCTTATCCCTAGAACCTAGAAACGTTCTTGGCACATAGTAGGAGTTGAAACGTGTTTCTTTAGTTTTTTAGTTTTTAATTTTTGTGGGTACAAAATGGGTGTATTTATTAGTTATATGAGACATTTTGATACTGGCATGCAATGTTTAATAATCACGTCAGGGTGAGTAGAGTATCCACCACCTCAAGCATTTATCTTTTGTGTGAAACGTGTTTCTTTGATAAATGTATGGTAATAACAGCTTTTCTAGATGTACATTCCAGCATTAGATGTGTAGAAACTGATTCAGAAAGGGAGTGCACACATACAATAGGAGAATCATGCTTTTACATGAACCCTGCCAGGCGCATGAGGCCAAGGAGGAAGATTGTTGCTGAATGATGCTGAATAAGTGATTTCGTCAGCAACATTTAAGGGTCCCTGGTGTGGTACAGGACTGGACAAGGTGTTATGGGAGATACATAGGCATAATACAGTGCCCTTTTCTCAAAAGTGTTGTACTCTTACTTGGGAAGGTAAGAATAAATACGTAAGAAGTTAAATACCAACCCACGGTGAAAGAAATGTTGCTAAATTCTGAATGATTATCAGTTATTGTTACCGACCAAAGGTTGGCAAAATTTATTTACAAAGGGCCAGATAATAAATATTTTAGGTCTGTCATAACTGCTCAACTCTGTTGTCAGAGCTCAAAAGCAGCCATAAACTTTAGGGTACATAACAAGTGGGCATTGTTTGATTTGGCCTTAAGGCCTTTGCCAACCTCTCCTATGACAGGAAATTCTGTAGATTTTGTAGAGTGGTCATGAAAGGTTTTCCTAAGGAGTTGCATCTTGAGTGGAGAGTGAGTGGTTGATTGAAAGGAGCAACTGAATGAAAGGACAAATTGGAATATATATGGAATGCTTAGGAGACATGGAACAAGTCAACCTAGCTAGAGTTTAAGACACTTGGTTCCTTATTAAATAGATTTCTGTTGTAGGGGCATTTCTGAACATAAAGCACTAAGAAAGTCCTGACTTTAGGCTCGCACCCAGTGCATTAGGCAAGTATCGTTAGCCCTACTATATTTGGAAGTAAGGATGGAGGCCTTGAGTAATTGCTGTGTTTCTAACCTACTTCCTGTAGCAGAAATATAATTGCCTATCCTTTCTAGAGTGAGGTTGTTTAGGTTTGCTTCCCAGCTGTACCAACTATTAGCTGTGTGACATTTAGCAAGTGACTTAATCACTCTGAGCCTCATTTTCTCCATCTGTGAGAGAAGGATAATAATCATGTTGGGATTATGAGGATGTAGTGGGATAATCTATGTAAAGTGCTGAGTACAGTAGTACTGGCAATAATAAAGCTTAGAAAATGATGGCTGTTATTTTTATGACCTCTAAATTAGATTGAAAACATTAGTGTTGTTTTGTTGGAATTATCTTAAATTCCTACCAAAGTGTGTATATGCTCAGGAAGCTTGACTGTGCCACTTTGCATAAATAGATTAAACTGATGAGCTTTATAAAAAAGACATACATGATGGAAATATTTGCCTGCCTTAGCCTTATCTCAAAGGGACAAATATCCCTCCTAACCATTCTTAATTCATAATCCTATGCTTAAGAATTGTTAATCATAGAATGTACCTGTGCAGGTTGATGGCTATAGTTCAAACTGTCTGTGTGGCTGGAAATGCCAAGGTCAAAATTATAGATTAAAGTGATTACGGGGTAGTAGTGCCCCCAGCTATACCTGTATGTCCTCTCTGGAAGAACAATAGACTTTAAACCCAGATCACACAAGCTTTGTACAGATTAAGTTCCAAGGAATGTAAGTTAGCAAAAACAACAAAACTCCTCACAACACCACTGTAAGCAAGGTTTAGTAGAAATAAGAATCAATAAACTGCAGAATCAGTTGGCAGCAGAGATTTCGAATATTGGAATTGGCAGATACAGACTATAAAATATACTTAATGTAATTCTTAGAAGAATTAAAAGAAAGTATAGAAACAAGTATAGAAATTAGAGGCTATTATAATTGACCAGTTGTGTTTAAAAGAATCAGTAACAATATACTAGTATGGCCTGGATATTTGGTGGCTCCTTTCTTGCCCTGATGGACCAGGTTTGCACACAAATGCATACACACTCACACAGTGTTTTTTGGTTTATTCCATTCAACAAACATTTTTTTATACCAAGCATTGTGTTAAGCACTGGGTAGAGAAGACCAAAAATGTGATTACAAGGTGATGCTTATCTTTAAGGAGCTTATGGTCTACTGTTGCCTTTGTTTTCCAAAGGTGGTCAGTCTTTGGAAGGCTGAAGACAAAAGACAACGGAGACTACAGTCTTAATGGCCTAACAAGATTTTTTGGCTGCCATTTTGCTGCCCACACATAGCCAGGACTGTCCTCCAGCATACTAGTCAGCTCAGTTCACCTAGACCAAAAATCAGTACACCTTCAGTACATAGTGCCCACTATTTTGGAGTTGTCATTTCCTTGGTAGAGTCCTTTGATACCAAGGATTTCTCTAGGTTTGGGCTTTATAAGTTCCCTGCTGCCTAGAATTCCTAACTCACTGCCCAAAGAATTCATTTATTTAAAAAATTAGGGCAGTACATTAATAGGAAAACTGCCCATTTATTCCCAGGCATTTTGTCACTTCAAGAAGTTACTGAAATATAAACAATATTAATTCTGAATATCCTAACCTAGTGTAGTAAAGACATTTATATAAGTACTTACAAGGTCCAAGTGAAGTAATTCACATCATGAAAGAATAAAATACTGTAAGACAATAGGGAAAGAGTGACATTTTGTCTGAGTAGGCGCCTGAAAGTTTCAAAAAGGACACGGCATTTGAACTGGGGTTTGAAATGACGTTTTGGTAGTTGGTTAAGGAGGTGGGGATTGTGGAGGGCATCCTAGCTTGAAAGAAGAGCAAGAGCAAAGGTACAAGTCAGAGGCTTAAAAGTATGAGGACGGTTTCTGCCTCTTATAGACGGTTTCACCTCTATAAGTATGAGAGGTGAGAAATGTGGCTGAAATTTACAAAAATGGCACTCTTGCAGCCCCCACTGTGGAGCTTCCTCTTTCTGTGCTCTCCACCCACTTTTCCCTGTTACTGTGCATCTCCTGTGTTCCACTTGGGATGACCCCTGTTGAGATACTTGGAGAAGAATAACTTCCCTGTGCATATTAATGAGACTGCCAGAAATAAAAAGTTTTATGTATGTAACTGTGAAACCAAATTTTCATGTACATTACTAAATGATATCTTGCAATGGGTGATTGGGGACTGTTTTTCAGGTTGAAAATATCCTCTTGCATGACCGAGGCCACTATGTCCTGTGTGACTTCGGAAGTGCCACCAACAAATTCCAGAATCCACAAACTGAGGGAGTCAATGCAGTAGAAGATGAGATTAAGAAGTAAGCTTTTTCTCCTTTGTTGGAGTTTTGTCCACGATCAGATGAGCAACTTTACTTTCAGCTTATGGATGAGAAGGTCAGGTGGGAAGAGAATGGTGATAGTCAGTTGTCCTTCAAATCAGAGCATCATGTTCACGGTTGGGTTGTTTGACTTTAAGTGAAGAATGAGGAGGGGGTTTACAAGCATATATCAGTAAAAGGAAGGACTCTTAGAGCGCTTTTTCAGTGGACCTGTGGTCATTGTACATAGATATTTTGATTTATAATATCACAGAGCCTATAAAAAGCTGAGAGGTGCACACACCATGAAAGTACTAGGATGTTTTTAAGTATGATCATAACAACCATGATATTATCAGTCAAACAGATGTGCTTTTTACTGAACCCTAAATTGCTGCTTCCTTCCTGCTCATAAGGCAATCTAAGTGGAAATAATGGTGAGTAGGTTATTAAAGTCTCCGCAAATACTGAATCACAGACTTTCACAAGAAAAAGCTTATTTAGATTTGTGACTCCAATAAGAGTTTGACCCATTTTCCCCTCATGTCCACAGTGTTGGATTTTTTTTTACAGGCCACAGCACTCACTGTTACTCGTAATAAATCAATAATAGTCTAGCCTGCACACCTACATCCTGATCTTTTCTGTCCTTTCATGCATCATCTCAGACAACCACCCCTGGGGCAGGAAGACCCTGATGGACCTAAGGCCCTGAGGGATGCCTGGACCCATCCCATCTGGGATCTAGAGACTCAAGCAGCATAAATCACATGCTTGGTAACACCAAGACACTCGCTGTGAGGATGTGCTTATACTACTTTTTTCTTGAGCAGGATATAAAACTGATATTTCAGCCTGATTCCAGGAGCAAAGATGAAGGGCTGATGATTCCATCCACTCCTCATCCCAGTCAGAGCCCACTTTCTGCTCTTCTCCAGAGTACCCCAGTCAGTATTACATCTCTGTGCTGACACACATTTAAAGGCCATATTTAAAACAACAAATTGACAAAATATAATATCAGAATAAGAGTTTATAAGAGAAGATTTTGTTATTTGAGGGCCCAAGAAAAGTTGCTTTTAGAATTTATTTAATGCATTAGTATCTGAGTCCCCACATGTTCTTAGACTAGGAGGACTGTTGCCAAAGGACCATGGTGTGATGATATGATTGTACCAAGGACAGCCTTGCATTTTATCTGCACTAATATTTCATACTCTCTTCTGCAGATTGCCCCCAGGGATTCTATTAATGTAAAAAGGAAAAAAAAAAGTATTTCTGCTTCTCCTGGTTTTTAATTATTGTATTGACATATTTAATAAAAAATGAATCTCTTGATTGTAGATACACAACACTGTCCTATCGAGCACCAGAAATGGTCAACCTGTACAGTGGCAAAATCATCACTACGAAGGCAGACATTTGGGTAGGTGTCAAGTAACCTATCCATACCTCAGATAGCAGCAGTCTTGATTGTAAATTCCCAAGATTAATGCACACAGTGCTATAGCATGGTGGCTACTGTACCATATCCTTACCTACTTACCCCTCAAGGTTGTTCTTGTGAGAAGACCGGCCACTGCTTCTTGAAGCATGATAAAATTACTTCCAAGCTTTGTGAAAATTATTTGGGTATTTTTTTCATGCAAATATTGCTAATTCTTTTTTTTTGATACAGAGTCTCACACTGTCGCCCAGGCTACAGTGCAGTGGTGCGATGTCGGCCTACTGCAATCTCCGCCTCCTGGGTTCAAGCAATTCTCCTGCCTCAGCCTCCCTAGTAGCTGGGACTACAGGCATGTGCCACCATGCCCAGCTAATTTTTTTGTACTTTTAGTAGAGACGGGGTTTCACCATATTGGCCAGGATGGTCTTAATCTCCTGACCTCATGATCCACCCGCCTCGGCCTCCCAAAGTGCTGGGATTACAGGTGTGAGCCACCATGCCCAGCCCATGTTACTAGTTCTTAAGAGCAAAACAAATACTTATTCTTTACTGGAGCACGATTTGGTAATAATGGTACAAATAATGCTGAACAGTGGTGTTGGGTTTTAAAACTCATGTTTCTAATACATTGATGGTCTATAGTTTTTATATCTGCTAGTAAATGTGGATGGTGTGTTTCTCAGATCCGTTTACGGTCATGATAAATAGACCACTAGTAGCAATCTGCTATCTTTATTTTTTAGGCTCTTGGATGTTTGTTGTATAAATTATGCTACTTCACTTTGCCGTTTGGGGAGAGTCAGGTGGCAATTTGTGATGGAAGCTTCACAATTCCTGATAATTCTCGATATTCTCAAGACATGCACTGCCTAATTAGTAAGTATTTTAAGTTTCTAGTTTCATATTTTTATTTCTACACAAAGAATGAATTGGGGGATAAAAGGATACGATTTCAGGAATAATGAATTAGATGCAAAGATAAATTGGTTGGTAATGATTGGGAACTCACAATGTAACAGTGTCTAGTTAGAGCAGTGGGTCTTTTTGCTAGAATTCTTAAGTTCTTCTTCACACCTGAGTCCAGCCACCCAAGCAGAAATCCTAACTGTGCCTTGAGCAGTATAGTGCTTCTATATTCTGTTGCAATCTCTATGAAAGCTCTGGTACCAAAGGAGTCCAGCTGACTCATATCGAGTGATAAGAAATTCATCTTTGCAAAACTGGAAGTAATTCAAATGAAAATGATTGCAGTGCATTGACTGGAGTGAATACATAATTAAGACTATATAACTCTATGGAACCAGGTTTTTCCTCTCATTTAGGTTAATCACTGGATTTTGATAACAAGCACCTAAACTCAATGCTTTCTTAAAAATAGTCTTAAGATTCCCCACTATTTGGTATCATCATAGCAAGCATATGTACTAACATTCATTAACCAGATGGTAGAATAAGTAATCTTAAAAAAAAAAAAAAAAAAAAAAGGAATCTTTGCACAAGGCCCTATACTAAAATGCTAAAGCAGCAGAGATTTTTATCGTCTTTCCACATTGGTTGAGACTCTTAGCATCTAAGTTTTAATTGTTATGGATTGATTACAAATCCTGAGCAACCCAGTTTGGGTCCTGCATGGGGATACACTGGAAAACATAGAAGCAGCAAATGTGGGTAGAGCATCTGACATTTGTTGAGGACCTACTTACACCTCATTTAATTCTTAAAATCCTTTATATATTAAGTATAATTATTCCCATTACGCAAATGAGGAAACTGAAGCTGAGAAAATGTAGGTAACTTATCTAGTTAACATAGATACAGCTTTTAAGGTATTGCCCATTCCATTGTGCCAGTTTTGTCAATCAGCTTCTTCCATTTATTAGCAAAAAAAGGGAATATTTAAAGGACTAGATTATGACATTTAATGATTGTTAGATTGTTGTCAGAGATAAAGCATTATATCCATATTAGAATTCCAGGTATATAAGTGAGATTGGTAGGAAGTATGGGAAAATGGCCAACTTTGATGTTAGACTAGTATTATTTTTCGATGATTTTTAAAAACATTCATGTAATAAATTCGTATGGAGAAAAACAACTCTTTATGAATGTCTATACCATGAACATCTTTCCCAAACTGCTTGCAAACCATTTGGTAACTCCACTGTCACCCTAAACTTACAGATCTAAAATTAAGTTTATCATCATTAGCCCTCCTTCCTTCTCTTTACCCCCAATACCCATTCCCCTGTCTTCTTTTCAGTTTTTCTCAGTGGTATCACCATCAAAGCCTAGAAAAATGAAATTTAAGATTTCTTTGGATCCAGCTAGCAGGAGAGAGGAAAGTTTCAATCATTTACTCGGCCATAATTATTTCTTTTTTGGAGTTTCTACTGTTTTTATTGCGTTCTTTTTATGTACATTACTGTCACTGTAGTATATACAGACTCTGTCAGCTAATGCCTCTATTGTTAGACTGGTCACCAGCTTTTCTCTTCTCTCTTCGATCCATCCAGCACACCCTCACCAAAAGATTCATCTTACAAAACACCACCTCTCATGTCCCTGATTAGAAAACTCCGGTGGCTTGCCAATGGTGCCACAGTAGGGCCCAGCTTTTTAGCATGGCATTTAAGATTCTGATTCTGATTGCATTCCACCCACTCAGCCTTCTCTCTACCCTGTTCTTCTGGCTCCTCTGTTTCCGTGCAGCAAGGCATTCTCTTGTCCTTCTCCAAGTCCTTCTTTCCTAAGACTGTTCTCTCAACTGGAATGTCTTTTTCTCTGCTTTCCCCCTGACTGAATTCTGTCCTGCTTTCAAGGGCCAGGCCGAGTCCTGCCTCTTCTGCAAGGCGGTCAGAGCATTCACTTTATTATTTAAGCAATCAGCTGCCTTGCATTGTTGTTTGCATATATATATGTGTGTTTGTATTCTTCTCAAAGGTTTTTTTTTTTTCCCTGAGGATTTTTCCAGTCTCAGAGAAGCAGAAGCTTAAAGGACCTGGAAATAGACAAGTGATCTATAGGTCACAGGAAACCTAGATATGCATTATGTTACTTTGTAATTTCTTTTAATCTGGAAACCAGCTAATATTTCCAACAAAAGAATAATAAGTAAACTCATTAAGTTTGGGTTTTGGTTATAATTATTAAGAATAATCATTCGTTGGCCAGGTGTGGTGGCTCAAGCCTGTAATCCAAGCACTTTGGAGGCCAAGGCGGGTTGATCACCTGAGGTTGGGAGTTCAAAACCAGCCTGACCAACATGGTGAAACCCTGTCTTTAAAAAAAAAAAAAAAAAGAATAATCATTCGTTTAGTGAGATAAGATGAACCAAGGAAGCCCGTGGTAAGACCGTGTAACCGCCTCGATATCAGAGTATGAAGGTGGAAACTTTCATACTGAGAGCTGGTGCAAAGCATAGAGTATGAACTTTATTATCTTTGTTATAATTCACATATTTGATTTTCTTATGGATATTAAATATTTTATATTCAGGAACATAAGAGGGGAGAAAAGAGGCTAATTATACTGTCTGACTTTTATGAAAAATAAAAACTTAAAAACAAAACATTGGGAGTGGAGAGAGGAATGATGTTTCCTAGCTACGCAATAGCAGTTGGAATATTATTAAATAAGTTCACCTGTGTTTGCCGTAGGGTATATGTTGGAACCAGACCCTGACAAAAGGCCGGATATTTACCAGGTGTCCTACTTCTCGTTTAAGCTACTCAAGAAAGAGTGCCCAATTCCAAACGTACAGGTACGTGGGTGGTGCTATTTAAAGGGAGTTAAACATTATCAAATTGCCGTTTTGAGTTCCTGGGGTGCTAATCAGCTATTTAAATGAATATAGATGTCCTTTGCTTTATCTACTAGAGGGCATTCAAGCAAAGCTAACTGTGAAGCAATTGCCATAAAGGGAATCCAATTTTCCCATGGAATTTAACTATAAAACTGAAGCAATTGTACTGAACAAAAAAATGCCCTAGGGATTGAGATGAGCACTTTGGATGAAGATTGACCAATTTCATGCCTATCAACTCTTCAGGTTCTCTGGGAGCCACATGCCTGGTGTAGTCACCTGAAGGTGATTTGGCAGGCTACTCTCCAGAGGCGTGGCCTTGGACATGGCCCTGTGCTGTTAGAACCTATACCCTTTGTCCCTGTTCTCCTTCCTTGCAGCAGAACTTTCTTGATTTTGCTTCTGCTGTTAGCCATTTATAACTCACACTCCTCTTTCTCTGTCCTTCCAAGACATCAAGATGTACGAATGTTTTCTACATTTAGTAATCCTAAACTCTGCACTCAAAATTTTCAGAATAAAATGCTTGCAAATGTCTTTTTTACAATCCTTGCATATTTTTCATGTCATATTATGATCTATTTTTCTTAAATATTTTATTAATGGATGCTATAATAAATAGATTCTGACCTGAAATTTTCTTGCTAGTTTCTCGAGTAATGGGCTTTTGATTTCACTGTTGGGGCTTAAGGGTGCTGCTTCTCTTTCACTCTCACTTTTGGAATCAGATGTGGGGTTCATCCAGGTGGAGCTCAGAATATTGGCTTTGTTACTAATAAGCTTGAGTCAGAAGATGTAGCTTGACCAGTCAGGCTCCCTAACATTAGATCACATGACTAAGATGTAAACACCTGATTGCTGGGGGACCGACTCTTCTATAAAGGAAGGAGGGCAATAGCAAACCGGACCAGCTCACTTTTTCCACAGTCTTATCAGTCTCAGAAGTCAACTCTTCTCCTTTCGGAGAGGAATGCTTGAAGAAGAGGAAGTGCAAGCAATTTTCTAGCAGAGATTCCCCCCACCTGGAAACATGAAGGAAGTGAGAAGACCCTCCTAAAAGGCCAGTTTTATAACTAGTATTCTGTGTGTTGGGTTTCTCAGATTAAAACGAGGGATACTGTGCAGTAACCTGCCATGACTATGTCTTCTTTTGTAGTCCCACTTTACCATTCATAGAGTTAGATAATGTGAAATCTAAGTTAAAGCATTCAGATTGGTAACTAGCTTTTTAAAAGTACACCTCACAAGTCTCATGTCATTTGGTACTCACTCAGTAGTGGTAAGCACTTGTTTTAGGGTTAGGGACAGCTAGCTGGTGCTCCCTCACGAAGCATTGTTAGATGGATAGTGCAGATTTCAAGCCAGAGGAACTCTCCGTGGCTTGTGGATTGAGTAGTGCCTTACATGTTGGGATGGGGTACTGGCTCAGCAGCCATACACAGGGGTGGCTGTGGTTTTCTCTGAGCAGACTCAGTGCACCCTGGTTTGACACATCGGTAACCTCAAATGAAGATCTGTCTGGGATCCAGAATAATACCAGCTACAGACATTTCCTTCCCATTCCTTTCATAGCATCAGTTCCAAGCTGTGCTATAGGAGCAGAAGGGTACTGAGAAGATCAAGCCACAGTGACTCAGCATGGTACACAAGGTGGAGAACGGGGAGCGTATGCTACGTACAAGCTACTCTCTCCCCTTCTCAGATACTTTACTTCCCTGACTGTGGCTGAGTCTGATACGCATTTGGTTAACTTTCCTTCCCTCTACCAGACAGAGCTCAGGGCCTGGAAGCCGCTCCAGAAGATCCCAAAATGTGTTTCCATCAGCTCTCAGTCCCAATCAGCCTGCTTATTCTTTAGCAAAAGAAATCTGTGATATCCTTTTTTTTTTTTTTCCTTTTTTGCAATTCTCTAGAACTCTCCCATTCCTGCAAAGCTTCCTGAACCAGTGAAAGCCAGTGAGGCAGCTGCAAAAAAGACCCAGCCAAAGGCCAGGTAAGACATGCCTTCATGAGCACATGTCCTCCTTGGATTGCCACAGCTGCAGGGAATGATGCCTGTGTTTCTTGATCCTTATGTGTGCTGTAGTGACCAGGGGCTGCACAGATCAGGAAAGCAAGCTCTGTTTTGCCTAGGCAGAAACCGTTCTTTGGGAATTCAAAGAGGAATATCATGAAATATTGTGATCTAAATTTGAAAGAGAATCAAGAACTCTAAAGCTGTTTTCTTTGCATAGGAATAGGCTGAGGGGCATTCAAAGATGAGGCAACAGCAGACTTTAAATGTTGCTAGTACGGTGGGGCTTGGTGGCTTACATCTGTAATCCCATCACTTTGGGAAGCCAAGGAGGGTAGAACCTGAGGTCAGAAGTTCAAGACCAGCCTAACCAACATGACAAAATCCCTTCTCTACTAAAATTATAAAAATTAGCCAGGTATGGTGGCACACGCCTGTATTCCCAGCTACTCGGCAGGCTGAGGCAGGAGAATCACTTGAACCTAGGAGGTGGAGGTTGCAGTAAGCTGACATGGCACCACATCACTCCAGCCTGGACAACAGAGCCAGATTCCATTTCAAAAAAAAAAAAAAAATGAGGAAGATTGCTAGTACAAGAGTATCCGAAACATCAGCCAGGCATGATGGCACCTGCCTGTGGTCCCAACTGCTCTGGTGGCTGAGGCAAGAGAATTGCTTGAGGTCAGGAGTTTGGGATCAGACTGGGCAATACAGCGAGACCCTATCTCTTTGAAAAAAAAGCAAAAAGTATCCTAAACATGTGTCCTGGCTTTTGGTTAGCCATATTCACCACCCTAATACTCAGCCTCCCTTTCCTTTTTACTTTCTGTGGCTCCAACCACATTATGAAAGTGTAGGTCAAAGCACCAGGTCCATGAACAGCAGAAGACTCTCTGGGTCTTAGCTGATCACAGTCTATTCAACCTAGGGACTTCCAAAAAGCAGATGCCAAAAGAGGTTTAAACAAAGATGTTATTTGGGGAAATGCCCAAGTGAGAAAAAACAGGGAGGGAACCAGGAAAGGCTGGGAAGGCCATCGGAAGGCAATGCTTCTAGCAGCAGGATCAAGGAATAGTCAAAGAAGACAGACAGAGGACATGCACCAGTTATTTCTTATGGTTTCTGGAAACAGCAACATAATAATCTTCTTACATCTCATGTAACGCCAGGACTTAGAAACAGGATCGTATCAATTTGCAAAAGAGACTGGGCAATGTGATTTTTATTCTGGGTGACCCTGTGCCCAACTAAAACTTTTGTTACTATGGAAAAAAAGTAGTATGTATATTGGAGGAAATGAAGTTTCTGTCACCCTTCCCATTTTTAAATGCTTTGACTTGAATTATTTACTTTTCCCTTCTAGTGCCATGTTGGATTCAGTCATTTGCATGCTTTTCATTGTAGAGAGACCACTTTGACAGCTAGTTGCTGCCCAGTTTGAATCCTCTCTGCATCTGAAAACCACGTGCCTCAAACCCCTCTTTGCATCATCACCCACAGTGTCTTTCGGAAATCCTAGGAGGTGCTGGGTAAAAGGGCCACAAGATGAAATAAGCTTGAGAAACACTGCATTCTATATAGCATTCTCTTTGAGATTCTCCATGCCATGCATATTCACACATGAAAAGCTCTGCTAGAAGGAGAGCCACTCAGTATATTTTTATCAGTGTTTTACAAATGTATTTGCCCACCAGGCCTGTTTTCAGAAGGTCTGGTAACATAATGACATCCTGTGGGAGATCTTTTGGGAAGCGTCAACTAAGCAGATCTGGAAGGTTTGGGTCAATGTGGAAGTGGAAGCATCGTGTCCTCTGCTCATACCCTTCCATTTTTCCCATACTTTAATATGAACCTTTCTCTTTTCCCTTTCTAGACTGACAGATCCCATTCCCACCACAGAGACTTCAATTGCACCCCGCCAGAGGCCTAAAGCTGGGCAGACTCAGCCGAACCCAGGAATCCTTCCCATCCAGCCGGCCCTGACACCCCGGAAGAGGGCCACTGTTCAGCCCCCACCTCAGGCTGCAGGTTAGTATCTAGAGTGGTTCGAAGCTCAGTACACCTCTTTGTTATTCTGGACAACAGGGAAATCTTGGAAAGCCTAGTTTGCTTTGGGATTGGAATCCAGAGGTGCATAGAGATAACAGTGTTCCTGGAGGAACAGGAAGAAGCTGCCATTGAAATTGTATGGCAGTGGCCAGGCATGGTGGCTCATGCCTGTAATCACAGCACTTTGGGAGGCTGAGGTGGGTGAATCACCTGAGGTCAGGAGTTAATTTCAAGACCAGCTTGGCCAACATGATGATAGCCCATCTCTACTAAAAAAAAAATACAAAAAATTAGCGAGACATGGTGACGAGCACCTATAATCTCAGCTATTGGGGAGGCTGAGCCAGAAGAATTGCTTGAACCCGGGAGGCAGAGGTTACAGTGAGCCGAGATCATGTTTTTGCACTCCAGCACTCCATTAAAAAAAAAAAAAACAAAAAAAAAACAGAAAGAAAGAAAGAAAGAAATTGTGTGGCATATCAAAAGGGGGGACCTCCTTTAATTCTGAGATGGATCTCCAAGACCACTAAAGCCTGTTGTCTCTGTCTTTTTCTAGACCTGGCCCTGATTTTGGGGGTTTAGAACCTTATCCTACCTCTTTATTTCATATATTTCCCTTTGCCTTTAAAAAAACAAGACTCTTCCAAAGTGTTGAATTCAGTCCAGGGCATCTTCCCTGTTCTGTTAATTAAACTTTGGGACATTAAAATGGGCCAAGTGAGATGATTGGGTAGAAAGCATGATCCTATTCATTTGCCTCCTAGCTTACAAAAATTCCTGCTTGGGTCTAATAAATCAGTAGTTAAAGATGCCTAGAAAAGACAGGACTGAAGAGGCTGAAGGGCTTGGACTAGCAAACAGGTCGCATTCAATTTTAGGAAGTTTGGGGTCTGATTAGCTGAGATGCAAAGAAACTGATTTGTTTTCATACATGCCCCCCCCCTAAAAAAAATAGAAACAAGACTCATCTCTTTTGACATTCACAGAGGAATATTGTTTCCTTAATGCTTTTCCCTTGAAGTATCTACCACACCTTCATGTTTTGGTATTCTGTTTCTAATGAGATGAGTGAGCTTTGTTTCATAAGAAGGATTGATCCAAAATATCGAGTAACTGAACCCTACCAGGAAGCTGCTTTTGGTGAATGTGGTGGCCATCTACTTATAGTCAAGCATCCAGACTGGGATAAGCTACATGTAAATCACCAGGGAATTATTTTGTCATGCTGCATGCCAAGAGGGGCAAAACTTAGGTGTATGTCCCAAAGGCCAGTTGAATATGTAGACACTTAGGGTGCCAACTTAAGTTGTAATTGACTAAATGGGGCGATTAATAAAGGAATAATTTCTTAAGGAGGCATTATTGAACCTCGTTTTGAAAAATTTGAAATATGTAATTTAGCAAGAAGATAGAAAGACATTCCAGGTGGGACAGAGCATGTGGAAAGACAGTGAGGAGCACATGTATCTTGGGCTAATCTGCCCATTTGTCACCCCCTATTAACTGTTTTAGTAAGACAGAAAGGCACTTCCGTCTAAAAGAGTTTGGAGCCCTTACATGGAGTTTATTCTCTTTGCAGGATCCAGCAATCAGCCTGGCCTTTTAGCCAGTGTTCCCCAACCAAAACCCCAAGCTCCACCCAGCCAGCCTCTGCCACAATCTCAGGCCAAGCAGCCACAGGCTCCTCCCACTCCACAGCAGACGCCTTCCACTCAGGCCCAGGGTCTGCCCACTCAGGCCCAGGCCACACCCCAGCACCAGCAGCAACTCTTCCTCAAGCAGCAACAGCAGCAGCAACAGCCACCGCCACCACAGCAGCAGCCGGCGGGCACATTTTACCAGCAGCAGCAGCAGCCCCAGACTCAGCAGGTAAGGTGGTCAGAGTGTGGCCCTTGCTTGCATATCTGAGTCATGACTGTGACAAGGCCCACTAGGTAAAGGTATCTTCCCAGAGAGCCATTAAACATTACTTCACCGTTTCTCGTAGATGAAGATACTAAAGCACTGAGAAGCGGATCCATCACACACACCCCTTCATCCTTTTTCTCAGGCCATAAGGAATCTGTCACCTGATTGAGGAACATCAGTACAAGAACTATTTTTTAAGGACTGCTTTTTTTTCTAATATAACTGTAGCACCATTATCATAATAGAGGAAAAAACAAGTTTCTTATTATCAAATATGCATGAGTGTTTGTTTCTGATGTCTCATAATTAAGTTGGCTTGTTTGAATCAGTAGCCAATAAGAACAGATTGTATTAAGTTGGTCTATGTTGTTTTCCATCATCTTTTCATATATTTTTTCACATTTTTTACTATGAACGTTTTCATTTTATAATGATTAGTATATCTTTTTTTTTTTTTTTTTTGGAGATAGGGTCTTGCTCTGTTTCCCAGGCTGAAGTGAAGTGGTGTGGTTATAGCTCACTGCAACCTCCAATTCCTGGGCTCAAGTGATCATCCCAGCTGCGTCTGTCAAGTAGCTAGGACTATAAGCATGTGCGACTATGCCTGGCTAATTTTTATTGGTAGAGATAGGGGGTCTCATTATTTTCCCCAGGCTAGTCTCAAACTCCTGGCTTCAAGCCATCCTCCCACCTCAGCCTCCCAAAACACTGGAATTACACACATTAGCCAATGTGGTAGGCTGATATATCTTTTAAGTCCCCTTTTATCCATAGGTTCCCTCCCCCCCCCTTTTTTTCCCTTTTTGTTGTTTAATTTTTCAGAGAAACCGGATTATTTGTCTTGTGGAATTTTCCGCATTCTGGGTTTAGCTGATTGCATGCTGTGGTGTCATTTGATGTGCTTGACTATCTTCCGTGTACACTGGTAATTTCTTGAGGCTTACTCAGTATTCGATTCAAGCTGACAGTTGTTCTTTGTTCTTCCTGTTGCATGGTGTCAGGAGCATCTGTAATGCCTCTATTTCATTAATATTAAGATCAGGGAGCATGTACTTTCAGATCTCCCTGAAGACCGCGTTTTCAAAAAATATTTTTAAAACGAAAAAAAAAAAAGATCAATCAGTGTGTTGAGTTGTTGTCTGTCTGATCCATTTTTTTAACATTCCCCATTAGCTTAGTAGCCATAGCTGATCATTTCCCAGGTCCCTTAATTCATCAAGAATGGTACAATGATATTCTAACCCTCTTCATTTGGGGGCTGTAAGTTTTCCATGAAGAAATTTTTTCATCAACTCTTTAGTTACCCTGAGGTATTATTTATACAGAAAAGGCAGGAGAAACACTTGATTCTTTCCTTTTGTTTACTGGTTTTCAGAGTAATAAATTTGTTCCCTCTTAGCATCCAAAGGTGAACAGTGAGGTTTTTGTTTTGTTGAGTTTAGTATCATTAGGAATTCTTAGATTTTAACATATTTGATATATTTGAATACATTGCTCTCTTTGTATGTGTGTGTTTACTAGAGATGGGGCCTTGCTGTGTTGCCCAGGCTGGAGTACAGTGACTATTCACAGGCAGGATCCCACTACTGATCAGCACAGGAGTTTTGACCTGCTCTATTCCCAATCTGGGCTGGTTCGACCCTCCTTAGGCAACCTGGTGGTCCCCTGCTCCCGGGAGTTCCCCATACTGATGCTGAACTTAATGCAGACACCCAACCAGCACAGCACACTACAACCCAGAACTCCTGGGCTCAAGCAATTCTCCTGCCTTAGCCTACTGAGTAGCTGGGGCTATAGACACACACCACTGTGCCTCACATATTGCAGTTTTTAAAAATTGATTTTAAAGCTCAGATTGTCCCGACTTTGGCCAGTGGAAGTCTACTCAAATTGACTCCTAAATCCTTCGGATGTAACTCCAGTGGTGTTTAATGATTTCCTTGCTATCTAGGATCATGCTGCCCTCTAGGATTATACTGCCCTCGACTTGAAATCATCCATTTTTCGTAGGAGCTCTATTTCCTTTTAGTGGAAATAATGTTTTGAAACCACAGTTTTGATGCTAGAGATACCGTTTGCCTAATGGATTGGTTGTTGTTTCTAGGCCTTCTCAGTGGACAATTAATATGTTTTGTTTTGTTTCATTTTGTTTTGTTAGAGAATAGGCATTATGAATTCGGGTTTATATTCCTAATTTGGATTTGTAATTGCTAGATTTCTGTTTAACTTCTTGGATTTTGTTGTATTTTTATCTGGAAATCTTGACTCTTAACAGCATTAACGTAGTTAATTATCTATCGTTTTAAGATAGCAATAACCTTATGATTACTGAAAAGGGTTTAAGATTTCCTTGCCCTTTTTACCCTTAGAATGTTTATCACATTATTTTCTGGAGCATTCAGCTACCAATTTGATAAACTGGTTTATTTGCATGGTTTTGCTTTTGATTTTTAGTTATTGCTTTTTAAATTTTAGTTTAATTCTGTTTTGTGGATATGTAAAACATTTACATAGTTTCAAAGTTAAATCTGCAAAATTCCATCTACCAGCAACCCATATATAGAGGGTATCGCTCATTCCTATTTACAATTCCAGAGTATTCCATTTGATATTTCCTTCAGGATATATTCATCATGGTTTATTTAATCAGCCAGTCTCCTGTTGATAGACATTTGGGTTGTTTCCACTATTTTGCTGTTTTATAGACAGCTATTTTTTTGACATGTTCTACTTTGTTAACCCTTTAACTTTGCCCCAGTAGACAAACAGTATCCTCCCAACTGACTCTAATAACTACATAACAGTATATGGGATGTTCAGAGATACCGTCTTTACCTTAGTTCATCGGCAGGCCCTTATTTTGAGCTCTGTTTGTGTACGTAGCACATAACCCTTAACAGTGGGGATTAGAAACACATATAACAAGTGTGGGCCAGGCACAGTGGCTCGTGCTTGTAATCTCAGCACTTTGGGAGGCTGAAGCAGGAGGATTGCTTAATACCAGGAGGTTGAGACAGCCTGGGCAACAATTGTGAGACTGTGTATCTACAAAAAATAAGAAAATAAATTAGCCAGGCATGGTGGTGTGCACCTGTGATAACAGCTACTCAGGAGGCTGAGGTGGGATGATCACTTGAGCCCAGGAGGTGAAGGGTGCAGTGAGCCAAGATTGTGCCATTACATTCCAGCCTGGGCAACAGAGCAAGACCCTGCTTCAAAAAAAAAAAAAAAAAAAAAAAAGGCCGGGCGCGGTGGCTCAAGCCTGTAATCCCAGCACTTTGGGAGGCCGAGACGGGTGGATCACGAGGTCAAGAGATCGAGACCATCCTGGTCAACAAGGTGAAACCCCGTCTCTACTAAAAATACAAAAAAATTAGCTGGGCATGGTGGCACGTGCCTGTAATCCCAGCTACTCGGGAGGCTGAGGCAGGAGAATTGCCTGAACCCAGGAGGCGGAGGTTGCGGTCAGCCGAGATCGCGCCATTGCACTCCAGCCTGGGTAACAAGAGCGAAACTCCGTCTAAAAAAAAAAAAAAAAAAAAAAAAAAAAAAAAAAAAAATAGTTGAGTTAACATTTAGGTTGTTATTTTCAGTGTCATCATTGCTTCATCATGTTCAGGTAGGGAAGCATTTTAGTCTTGGCTACTTCAAATCCCTTTATAAGAAGGATTACCTCTGTGATTAGGAGATCGTTTATTAGCTCCTGCTATACTCTAGCTTATGGAGTCACATGATGTTTAGTCAGATAGCTGCCCTTACACAAGGCCCAGAAACCCTCTTGGAAAGCCAGTCTGTAGTACAGGAGGCAGCCTGGTGCAATGGATGGAGCCTAGCGGTGTAAGGTACTGCTGTGTTATGTTTTAATGCCCTGAGGTCTCCATCATGAGATTTTAGGTCTAGCCTAAAGACTTTTCTTTTCTTCTTCTTTTTTCTTTTTTCGAGATGGAGTTTCACTCTTGTTACCCAAGCTGGAGTGCAATGGCGCAGTCTTGGCTCACCACAATCTCCGCCTCCTGAGTTCAAGCAATTCTGCCTCAGCTTCCTGAGTAGCTGGGACTACACACGCGCACCACCATGCCCAGCTAATTTTTGTATTTTTAGTAGAGACAGGGTTTCACCATGTTGACCAGGATGGTCTCGATCTCTTGACCTCGTGATCCACCCGCCTTGGCCTCCCAAAGTGCTGGGATTATATAGCCTAAAAACTTTTCTACTTGCCCTTGCCTTCGGCTTTAGCACTGGTCTTCACTGTTACTGAGACATTTGTCTTTTGTGACTATTATTCTGGGATAGGCCCTTACTCACCTCCTCATTTCTTGCTCAGTTTCAGGCAGTACATCCAGCAACCCAGCAACCAGCAATTGCTCAGTTCCCTGTTGTGTCCCAAGGAGGCTCTCAACAGCAGCTAATGCAGAATTTCTACCAGCAGCAGCAGCAGCAGCAGCAACAACAACAGCAGCAACAGCAGCAGCAGCTGGCCACAGCCCTGCATCAACAACAGCTGATGACTCAGCAAGCTGCCTTGCAGCAAAAGACCACTGTGGCAGCAGGACAGCAGCCTCAAGCACAGCCAGCTGCAGCCCCACAGCCAGCCCCCGCCCAGGAGCCAGCGGTAAGAATCAACCAGAGCTCAGAGCACAAAAGCAGGAGAGGAGTGTGCAGTGAGAGCTAGGGAAAGGGTGGGAAAGATGGCAGCAGCTGATGAGGAGCTAGGTCGCGTTCCCACCCTGGTGGTTCAAATATTTGAACTTTCCTTGATATCTCCAAGAATAGTATGAGATGTTCTGTAGAAGATAGAGGTTTTTAAAAAAAATGATTCTAAGCTACTGATGAAGAACCCTCTTAATTTTTATCACTCTGAAACTAGGCTAGCAGGAAGGTCTGTTCATCATCTCTGTCAGTGTCACTTTGAACAGTCAAGGACCTAGGTAGGATTAGAGCTAATTCCTTTCCCTTCCTCAAGGGGAGTTTGATCCATTATGCCCTTTCCAGGCTCTGGAAGTTGTGTGGCCCCACCTTTGCCCTAAGTCCTCCATGCTGTGTTTATTCGTTGTTTTGGATGACGTTACTCACCACATTATTTAAGTTTACCTTGCAGCTCCTGTCAAGTACCTGCTTACTTGGGACCATTTACCCTGGTGCGATCCTCTTGGGTGCTAGAGCATCTGAGTATCCAGTCATTTGAGCAATCTTGTCAATTTAGAAATTGGGCATGTCCACTTTTAGATATTGGCTGAGTATGGCATCAGGACCCCGCTTCTAATTGTCCTCTACAGTTTCAGCACACACGGGCACATCATGCTTTGGCCTTTAATAAGTGGCTTTTTTTCTATGCTCATATTTTTTTGAGTGATAGTGACAGAAAATTTTATGGTGTTAGAAAAAGACATTTCGCATACCCAGCTGATAGAGTGTCACAGCTACCCTCTTATTCCCAGGGAAGTCCCAACAACTAGACAGGCAAAGAAAAAGAAACCATCTTTCTGAGGATTGATTTCTAATAGAGTTTTGTCTCCCATGTTAAACCAGAAAACCTACATCCCTTTGAAAGGAAGCAGTGCCGTAAATAGATTGTCTTCCTTAAGTCTCAGCTAAGTGTGGGTTTAGTGTCTTTGCACCTTTGTTTCTAAAACAACTCAGACTTCCTGCAGGCATGGAGTAGACAGTGAGTCTCTGTATTGTTAACAGGAGATAAAGTTCCTCTTGTTCGTGGAAAAAGAGTTTTTTTAAAAATTAGTACACAATGCAGCTAGAAGGGACCTTAATTATCCAGTTTAATCTTCTCATTTTATGGAATTGGAAACTGAGGCACAGACTAGAAAATGATTGCCCAAGACATACAGACTGATCGTAGCAGAGCTGGAGCAAGAATCAAAGAATCCTGATCCGTGTTTAAGTTTGATTATAACAAATGCTTATCCAGGGTGACAAAATGATCAACTGCTACTGACTACACTTCTTATGAGAGTCCCCTATGCTTTCCCTAGGCAAAAGTGTCCACTGTCTTGGGAATGAATTATGAACCTTCTCTGTGTTCTCTGGATGAAAAAATACTTTGAACACTTTGCTCAGGAATAGGTGGTTTTGGAGACAGAGAGGAAACAGAAGTAAACCGTGCTTTGGCCAGGAGCCATAGAGCTTCTCAGCTTTGACCCATCCCTATCTCCACTGGCTCTTGGCAGGGCTAATCTAGAGAAGCAAGTGAGTGGAGGTAAAGCATACCCTGTAGCCATCGTAAAGCAGTAATTGGCAAAGGGAAAATGACTATATGCCCTAGGTGTTTACTGCAGTCTTATTAATAGTAGCCCAAAGAATGGAAGCAACCTAAATTGCTGAGGAACCCAACTGTGCAGCCATTAAAACACTTGGTTATAAAGTCTGTACAACAATATGAAAAGAAATGCTCATGAGGTAATGTTAAAAGACTTGGAAATTATGGAAAAACTTTGTACTTGAAAAAAGACTTAAAATATAAGACACCAAAAATATAAGAATTGTATCTAGTCATATTAGAGTGGTGGAATAGAAGCCTCTTTTCTGTATTCTTACATTTCATGATGTGATTATACTCCTTTTATAATTACATATTTTATTTTTTAAAAATCTTCAGCAAGATAGACATCTGAATTTTTTTATTCCTTCTCCTGTGGTCTGTCTCTCCCTCCCCGCCGTTTCCAGTCCTGTGTGGATGGGACGGCATCATGGTACAGAAAGAGTCCTGAGCCACAGTCAGGAGACATGGGCTCTGCTTCCAATTAACCCTGTAACCTTGAAGGAGCACTTGGCTTCAGTGGGCTGTGGTCTCACCTCAAGTACAGGAGTTGAAATCTGTGTTTTCTAAGACCCCTTTCAGCTCTCACATTCTTTGATTCTAAGTGGAAGTAAAACTGTCTGTCAGAACCCTGGGAGGTGTAGCAAAACAGGTACAAACCGCTTAGTGTCTGTAGACTGCTGTTATAGGGCAAGATCCTGAAGGAGGCATCTGGTCTTCAGTGTGCTGCAATTGGAGAACAGGAGAGAAAAATGTTCTTCAAGTGGTAAGAACACCTTAGTTCAACCATTGTGGAAAGCAGAGCTCTCTGCAATTCTTCACAGAGCTAAAAACAACTATTCAACCCAGCAAACCTGTCACTGGGTATATACTCAGAGGAGTATAAATTGTTCTGCCATAAAGACACATGCATGTGTATGTTCATTGCAGCACTGTGCATAATAGCAAAAACATGGGATCAACCTAAAATCCTATCAGTAGCAGACTGGATAAAGAAAATGTGGTACATATATACACTGTGGAATATTATGCAGCCATAAAAAAGAAAAAAGACGGAGCCTTTGCAAGAAGATAGATGGAGCTAGAGGCCATTATCCTTAGCAAACTAATGCAGGAACAGAAAACCAAATAGCACATGTTCTCACTTATAAGTAGGAGCTAAATGATGAGAACTCATGGGCACAAAGAGGAAAACAACAGATGCTGGGACCTACTTGAAGGTGGAGGGTGGGAGGAGGGAGATGATCAGAAAAAATAACTCATGTATACTAGGCTTGGTACCTTGGTGACAAAATAGTCTGTATAACAAACCCCTGTGACATGAGTTTACCTGTTTACCTCTATAACAAAACTGCACGTGTACCCCTAAAATAGAAGCTTAGGCAAACAAAAAAGCAGTAACGTTTATTAATCACAGTAGAATTCTGTCTGACTCATTCCCAACATGTGGTCTTGCTATGGCAGAGAGTGAGGGATCTCTTAGCAGAAATTATTCACCTTAAATGTGTTTCAGCTGGAGGTATGTCTTCATTGGCCTCTGTGGTGATAGGATCTATTGCCTGCCCTTTGGAAGCATTCTGATTGGGTTTGTATGTGTCTCCAGAAATAGAAAGTGATCCTTTATGATAAATTCCAGATCTTTACAGCTAGGAATAGTTTCTGCATTCTTATGCTCTGGGCTGATTATGGTTAACATATGGTTACCCTGAATATTATTGCTGATGAAGATTGAAATGTATGTGTATCAGACAAATACCAAGTTGTAATTGGGCTTAAAGTTTCAGCATAGATTGTCAAAGCCTGGATTTTCCTTTCTGGGTGTTACTGATAAACTTAGCCATTTGAGTCCCAAGTTAGTGCTCATGTGGCATTTTTATTGTTGTTGTTGTTACACTTATCTATTTGTTTTCGCTTTAACTTTTTTTTTTTTAATTTAATGAAACACTTTCCATCTCTCTTCCTAGCAGATTCAAGCCCCAGTAAGACAACAGCCAAAGGTTCAGACAACCCCACCCCCTGCCGTCCAGGGGCAGAAAGCTGGATCTCTCACTCCTCCCTCATCCCCCAAAACCCAACGTGCTGGGCACAGGCGTATTCTCAGTGACGTAACCCACAGCGCAGTCTTTGGGGTCCCTGCCAGCAAATCAACCCAGCTGCTCCAGGCAGCTGCAGCTGAGGCCAGTCTCAATAAGTCCAAGTATGTGGTGCTTCCTCTTTGTTGTTCTTAACTCTGTGGGCAAGTTCTGCCTGTGGCTGTTAGTGTGTGATTCTTTGCATAAGTGTGTAGATGTGTGTAATACAAATACAGTGGTGTGTACTTGTGTTCATTTACTTTTCTGAGTAGCTTGTTTCATCTTGCATGTCCTTGTGTTTAATGAGCAACTATGAATTTGTCTTTAGTGCATGGGCCACACTAATGTTAAGATATCTTTTCCTACTTGGCCCACAGTTTTCATTCTCTCACTTGTTCCATGCTCTACAGTGTCTTTTCTAAACTCTCGATCTGACCGAGTCTCTTCAGGCCAAAACTCTCATTGGCTCCTCATTACCTGTCAGATGATAGCTGAGCACACTGCTTAACACAGCAGGGCCTGTTGCGTCCCACAGGCCGACTTGCCACTCTTTACCTTCTGAAGCCCTTTGTTCCTCCTGTGCCCTCCCCTGGGACTGCCACACTCCTCCTTGCCCACCTAGGGAGTGTTCATTTATTCATCAAGATCCATGTCAGAGGTTGACTTTTCTTTGACCCTTCCTCTGATGTATAATTTTTCTCTGATTCTTTTTTTGCACTTGTGTGACACTGTATTATCATTAATTATTTGTATGTCTGACTGAACTAGTTTGTGAGTTCTCCAAGACAACGACCATGTCTTAGTCAACCTTTGGAAACCCAGTGACTAGCATGCCTGACAAGTAGATTTTGATGAGTGCTGAATAGATGCAGTTTCAGACCCTTAGCTATATTGGAACCATGCAGTCTAAAGTTAAAATCTTTCAATTAAGTTCAGAGAGACTTTATAAGAAAATGATGTAATGATACTTAGATGCACAAAGTAGTGGTAACTGTCTTTATTTCTTTTCAATTGTGAGGTGGTCCTTAACTCTATGCATACTGGATCCTGAAAGATGGGATACAGCCTAAATAGAGCTCTTTCCTGCCCCTCCAGGGGTCAGTTATTGTAGATGTTATGGTGGTCACCACAGGATACACAAGTCTAAGAACAGGTTGTTTTTAGGTCCTAAACTGAAACAACTTGCAGATAAGACTAAAAACCTAAGCAAGAGATTAAAGTAGTGGGAGGTAGTGAGTCATGAAGGAAAGGAGACGTTTATTTCACAAAGTGGGAAAGATGTCTGTGGAAATTGTTCAGGTGCTGTGGAAAGCCCTTTTAGGAAAACACTGTGGGCTGGGAGCAGTGGCTCACGCCTATAATCCTAGCACTTTGGGAGGCCAAGAAGGGTGGATCACTTGAGGTCAGGAGTTTGAGACTAGCCTGGCCAACATGGTGAAACCCTGTCTCTGCTAAAAATACAAAAATTAGCCAGGCATGGTGGCAGGCACCTATAATCCTAGCTACTCAGGAGGCTGAGGCAGGAGAATCGCTTGAATCCTGGGGGCGGAGGTTGCAGTGAGCCGAGATTGTGCCACTGCACTCCAGCCTGGGTGAAAGACTGCAACTCCATCTCAAAAAACAACAACAACAAAACACTGTGGTAGAAAACGATGGTTTGACTCAGAAAAGAATTTGATCCTGAAACAAAGAGAAAATAAGTTTACCCTTTTTGTTTTGTTCAACTTTTATATCTGTTTGTTTCATGGGGATGGGAACCTACCTAGGTCTGCAACCACCACTCCATCAGGCTCTCCTCGGACCTCTCAGCAAAATGTTTATAATCCCTCAGAAGGGTCTACGTGGAATCCCTTCGATGATGACAATTTCTCCAAACTCACAGCTGAAGAACTACTCAACAAGGACTTTGCCAAGCTGGGGGAAGGTGAGTAAGCTGTGTCATTTTTGGTGCTTCTTGATTGTAGATTCTCTATGCTAAGAAATAACCAGGAGTGAGAAAGAATTGTAACTCTAGAAGGGTATGCAAGTGAAAACATAGGCTTGGGCCTTTGCATAAGGCTTGATTTCAAAGTATGCATACAAATCGGTTTTTATTTTTATCATGCCCCTGAAGTCTTCATCTTTAGGAAATCCTGATCTATTGTGGGTGGTAGCAAAGAGAGTGTGAGGCTTAGGGAAGAAACTTAAAGGAAAGGTTTGGTGACGTAGATCAGGATAACAGCACCGGGCATGGTCACTCCTTGAAGGAGTGTTCCCTCATCCTAGGTTGGTTTACTGTCTCAGAAAGTTGTCACTGCTTGTCCATGAATGTGCCCTTACATGGACACTGAATCTTTCTTTCACTATGATCAGCATTCTGTATTACTGTTGACTGACCACAGAAAGATGATTACATAAATAGAAGATAAACTTCTGCCTGGAAAACAGTCTACTTTGGAAGGCAGGACACACACACAGGCACATGCACGCACTTTGAAACAAATTCTAGTATGCATAATTCTAATAATATTAGAGAGTACTCTAAGAAAAAGAGTACTCTCAATGTAGATAAGAGTGCAAGATAAAGGAATGATGACAACCAATTGTGTGGTATGAACTATTGGCCAAATATTTTGGTTTAAACTATTATTCTATAGAAATCTTTTAAAACTCCATGGCCAGGTGTGGTGTCTCATGCCTGTAACCCAGTACTTTGGGAGGCTGAGGCAGGAGAATCGCTTGAGCCCAGGAGTTCAAGACCAGCTTGGGCAACATGCCAAGATCCTATCTCTACAAAAAATATTAAAAGTTTGCTGGGCATCTTGGCATACACTTGTAGTCCCAGCTTTTTGGGAGGCCGAGGTGAAAGGATCACTTGAGCCCAGGAGGTCGAGGCTACAGTAGACTATGAATTCATGACTGTTTTCCAGCCTGGGTGACAGAGTGAGACCCTGTCTCTTAAATTAAAAAAAAAAAAAAAAAAAAAAAAAAAAAAAGATTCCTATTACTTCTTGCCTTTTTAAACATAAGATAGGGCGTAATACATAACTTTCTTTGACAACATCTCATTATTGCCACCTCTGCCACTCCCTCTTCTCATTTGCTCTCCTAAACCGCTTCCAACATGGAAAGCAGATCGTCAAACTCATTAGAGCTATATAAAGTAAATACATTACAAGTGTGGGCTGGAGGCATTAAATGTACAGTTCCGTAGTGTTAAGTACATTCACACTGTTGTGCAACCAACCAATCTCCAGAACCCTTTTCATCTTGCAAAACTGATGATATGCTCTTTTGATTCTTAACAATTTCTTTTTTTTTCTTCTCAGCTGTTCTCTCAGTTATTGCAATGACTAGACAAGGATCTGTAAATAGCCAGTGTGTCACCATAATGCAATTAAAGTAGTCGAGACGTCAGTTCAGAGCGTGCCCCTCACCTCTTCCATGGGTGTGTGCCTCACAAGATTTTGCTAGAATGAACTGAGTGGCGTTTTGTCTCTCCAGGCAAGCATCCCGAGAAGCTTGGAGGCTCAGCTGAGAGTTTGATCCCAGGCTTTCAATCAACCCAAGGTGATGCTTTTGCTACGACCTCATTTTCTGCTGGAACTGGTTAGTATGGCAAATACCTGGAACACGAGGTTCACTGTTGTTGCCTTCACATTGTTTTTCACTCCACAGATAACTCTAGCATGCCAGTGAAACCCAAATCCTGACAGTAACATGTATATATATATATATATATATATTTTTTTTTTCATGGTCAATATTTAATTTAAAACTTTTTAAAATTCAAGATCTTTCTGATCAAAAAGGGATAAAGATTTAGCACTACTTTGAATTAATGTGGCAGGACAATCTGGCAGTGATATACAGGACTTGTTCTTTCTAGGCCACAGGCATGCCTTAAGCAAATATGTATAGATTTGAGGAACACCAGTCTGTTTATTGCTTGTAATTTCTTAGGTTTCTGGGAAATTTAATTTTAAAAATTCTTGAAGAGTTTTTAAAATTAAACGTTCTGTTATATCTAACACTCCTCTAAACTGTGTTTGTGTGTATATATATTTTATTATATAAAAGTTAGTAATTTATAGAGAAGAAAGTTAAAATCCTCCATGATCTCACCACCGAGAGATAGCCCAGGGATACCATCTTGATGTCTGTTAGCGGCATTTAATCTTTTGAGAGTCACAGATATCTTTGTGAATCTAATGAAAGTTATAAGTCTCCCTGACCAAAATGCACATGACCACAATTTTTTATTTTTTATTTTTTGAGATGGAGTCTCACTCTGTCACCTAGGCTGGAGTGCAATGGCGTGATCTTGGCTCACTGCAGTCTGTACCTCCCAGGTTCAAGTGATTCTCCTTTCTCAGCCTCCTGAGTAGCTGGGATTACAGGCACCTGCCATCATTCCTGGCTAATTTTTATATGTTTGTAGAGACGGGGTTTCACCCATGTTGGCCAGACTGGTCTTGAACTCCGGACATCAGGTGATCTGCCCGCCTCATCCTCCCAAAGTGCTGGGATTACAGGCGTGAGCCACTGCACCCAGCCACATGACCACAATTTTGTACACTCTTTGGCCCACTTCTTGAGACTCTGATATGCATCTTTTTTTTCTTTCTTTTTGAAGTGGAGTCTTGCTCTGTCGCCAGGCTGGAGTGCAGTGGCACCATCTTGGCTCACTGTAGCCTTTACCTCCCAGGTTCAATCGATCCCCATGCCTCAGCCTCCCAAGTAGCTGGGATTGCAGGCATGCGCTACCACACCTGGCTAATTTTTGTATGTTTAGTAGAGACGGATTTTCACCATGTTGGCCAGGCTGGTCTTGAACTTCTGACTTCAGGTAATCTGCCTGCCTTGGCCTCCCAAAGTGCTGGGATTACAGATGTGAACCACCAGGCCCAGCCTGATATGCATGTTTATAGGCATATTGAAGCCTAATGAACTTAATGAACCTGGCACATTTCTCCTGCATCATTAAAGCAGCTCCTAAAATATAATTTGTTTAAGGTACCTGCATTAAATTCCATTATATGGCCAGGTGCAGCGGCTCAAACCTGTAGTCCCAGCACTTTGGGAGGCCAAGGCGGGCAGATCACTTGAGGTCAGGAGTTTAAGACAAGCCTGGCCAACATGGTGAAACCTCGTCTCTACCAAAAAATTAGCCAGGTGTGGTAGCACACGCCTATAGTCCCATCTACTCAGGTAGCTGAGGTGGGAGATTCCCTTGAACTCATGGGGCAGAGGTTGCAGTGAGCTGGACCTCTAGCCTGGGCAACAGAATGAGATCCTATCTCAAAAAAAACAAAAAACAGAAAAACTTCTAGGATACACTAGATGTATGATATATCCTAGTATATTTAACCAATTGCACTTTATTTCAGTATTTACTATTATAAATACCTCAGCAATGAATATGAGCTTTTGAAAATATTCTTTGTAAGATACAGAATTTGGCATGCTTCTAAAAGTGATCTTTATACTGATTAATGTCTATTTTTAACCTTATCATATATTTTTTCTGCCTGCTTTCTTTAGGTATGTTAATAGCTTTTCTAACCTCATAAATTTATTTCTGAATAGAACTTTGTCATTTCATAATATTTGATATGAAATGCTCTCTTATTCTTATTTTCTGGATATTTTAAAATAGAAGTTTCAATTTCTTTTTTAACCAAAAGTTACTTAGGTTATGTTTTCATTGCACTATGACCAGTATGGTCTGTCCAGTCTTTGCTGTAAACGATACTGAAAGGCTTCCTGTGGCCCAGTTTTTTATTCATTTTATAAACGTCCTCTGGAAATTAGCAGTTTCCATGTCACTAAATATTAATCTACAGCATGATTGTTCATGGAAGAATAGTAATATTTATTTAATATCCCCTTTTATGAATATTTACATTGTTACCAATTTTTCACCATATAAATATTCTTGAAGCTAAATTTTTGTTTATATCCTTTACAGTTTCTTTAAGATAACTTCTAAGAGACTATGTGCTAAATCAAATGTATATTTTAAGGTTTTTAATACATATTTTCAAATTGTACTCCAAGAAAGCTATATATATTTTATTTCAATTAATAGTGAATGAGAGTCATTTTCTCTACCATTTCTTCACCCAGCCCAGCACAGCCCAGCCCAAAGATTATAGACAGAGAACATTATTTACTTATTTTTTTTTTGAGATGGAGTTTTGCTGTTGTTTCCCGGGCTGGAGTGCAATGGCACAATCTCGGCTCACCACAACCTTCGCCTCCTGGGTTCCAGCAATTCTCCTGCCTCAGCCTCCCGAGTAGTTGGGATTACAGGCGTGCCACCACACCCGGCTCATTTTGTATTTTTAATATAGACAGGATTTCTCCATGTTGGTCAGGCTGGTCTTGTATCTTCCAGACTGAGGTGGTCCGCCCACCTCAGCCTCCCAAAGTGCTGGGATTATAGACATGAGCCACCATGCCTGGCCAGAGAACCTTATTTTCTGACCCATTTTTATGTATTTGAGATTTGTATTGTTTGTGTCCTTTGCCTTTTAGATTCATTTGTAAGTGTTCTTCATATGTGACATACTAACTTTTTCTAGAAAATCATCTGCAGTTTTAAAGTTTTTCATTAAAGTACAATATGTATATATCTTTTATACTATTTTATCTATATACATTAATTTTAATTGTATGTATTTGTGTTTCTCTTTTTCTTGGTAACTAGCTAGAGGTTGGATGTTTTATTATATTTTCACAGACAATGCTTAGATTTATAAATCTTCTGTTTTCTGTCTATTCTTTAACTTTTGCTTTTATCTTTATTACATTTTCTTGTTTGTTTGTTGGGAGTGGGGGTTTGAGATTGTGTCTCGCTCTGTCACCCAGGCTGGAGTGCAGTGGCGGGATCTCAGCTCACTGCAGCCTCCACCTCCCAGGTTCAAGCGATTCTTCTGCCTCAGCCTCCCTAGTAGCTGGGATTACAGGCGGGTGCCACCATGCTGGCTAATTTTTTGTATATTTAGTAGAGACGTGGTTTCACCATGTTGATCAGGCTGACCTTGAACTCCTGATCTCAGATGATCCACCGCCTTGGCCTCCCAAACTGCTGAGATCACAGGCATGAGCCACCGCGCCCAGCCATTTTCTTGTTTTTCTTAGATTTGCTTTGGTAATATTAAGAGGAACAAATAGTAAAATATTTTAAAATTCTTTTTAAAAAAATAAAGTTCTTGGGCTGTGAGTGTTTCTTCACAATTTGACCGTCACTTTCAACCAGCACAAAAGGGGTGAGGCTAATTATAGTCTTCAGGGAGGCTTTGGCATGTGAAAATATTCCAGTGTCCTCTTTTCTCTTTCTCCAGTTGCCTTGCTTCAGCCTTTGAAGATTACACTGTTTATTGAGAATGCTTTCTAATAAGTGTGTATTTTCCAAGTTAAAAAAAAAAAATGGAGTTGTATGGAGTTTAGCCATAGCTCATAAATCGTCATATTCTCATTATTATTTTGGAGTTATATTTTTCATTATTAAGTTGTTTAAAAAAGTTTTGTTTCACTTTTAGCTTTGTTTGTGTAAATTTTATAAGTATGTTGATATTTTGGTGAGATTTTAAAATGTTCCAAAACCCATTCATGCTGCTTGAAGTTTGATGCGCCACATGGTTGACCAAATGTATCAAACATGTAAAGCGCTGACGATTGTCTTTGAAGTAGAACATCAAAATGATGATTAGCCATGGACCTGGGCGGGATATAGTTTGTCTGGAAAGAGGGTCTCAGAATAAACTCTGAGACTCTTATTTGCTACCAAATCCCAGAATTTGGCACAATGTTTGGCTCCATATAGATGTGTTGAATGAATAAGAAGGGTTGCTTTGTGCCAAAGCTTAGGACCTTGGATTTACCAGTGTTAACAACTGAGGTCTCTGATCATTTTCCGTCTACTCACCCTACCAACCCCAGTTTTAATACCTAGTTCTCATCTATTACACATGGTTATGTCTCATTGTTTGTGTGAGCTGTTTTTTAATGAGGTTTATTTTGGTTTTCTGTCTGCCTTTCCACCACTTTATGTTTACTCTGAGGCTGCAAATGGTAGTATTTTTTTAAGGAAATTAAAGGCCCCACCACAAACACACATTTGAGTAAAGTTATGACATTAATAAAATTAAACATATATCAAGCACATGACTCATGTTAAACCCACTGGGTAAGCGTTTTTTTTGCTCAGTATCTTAAGTGATCCTCACAAAGGCCACCTGCTCAATGGCACAGCTGGAGAATGACAGAATAGAGATTTGTACCTGCAGCCCAGCTCAAAAACTAGTTATAATCACGTCTCAGGAATCTCATAAGCCAGCAACACTAAGCTTTTGCAAACATTAAAAAGTATCTTTATAGTTTCCTCAGTTTATCCAGTCTTTTTCTGTGAACATTTGGTATTTTCCCTCTCTCTTGTTTGCAGTGTAAATGTTTCTTTTCTGTGACACCTTCATTCTTTACAAATGACGGAAAAGTATGTCTAGATCCCAGAATTAATTTACTCTCATTTGTACAAAGTGCAGGATGGCATCATTTTCTATAAATTTTCTATCTGGACTCAGACTCTTTACAGATTTTAAACCTTATGACTGATCAAAGGAGAAATGAAGCAGGAAATTTCATAATGGGTTCGGGAGGATGGCACAGGGCTATATTAAACATTTTTATGGCAAAAGCTGCAAAAATGATGGACTGTGTCAATACATTGGAGGAAAAACAGGCAAACATTTAAAACTTCACATTGTGTCTCTTTATTTTCAGATGTTTTCCTGTATATTAGTTACACATATTCACTTATTAAAATGTGGATAAATGAATAAAAGCCCAAAGTAAAGAAAATAAAATCTAACTCCACCTTGAGAGAGCCTTTGCTGATATTTTACATTATTTATATCTAGAATTTTATTTCTTCATATAAAGTTTTTTCAGACATGACTTACACCATGTATTCAATTTTGCAGTTTGCTTTTTTTCTTTTACATAGCTTTCATTGTGTTTCATTTTAAAATATTTCAAGGACTTTAAACGCAGTTATTTTACCCTTCTTGTCCTCCTTCTACCTTTAAAGTAACTTAGTTAAAAACCCACTTAAATAACAAAATTATAGAGACTGAAAACACAATAGTGGTTTCCAAAGCACAGTAACAGGAGTAAGGGGTGGGTGTGACTGCAGAGGAGTAGAATGATGAGGTCTTTGGTTTCATGGAACAGTTCTGTATCATGGTTGCAGTGCTGCTCATTCTAATCTGTACATAGAATCAAGTTTCAAAGAACTATACACACAGGTTGGAGGAACTGAAAGTCCCAGAGGGAACTAGGGGCCCCAGGAGGAAGTGCCTTAAAGACTGAGAAATACGGTTTGAATGAGGAGTTGGGGGTGCTAGAAAGAGGTTGAAGGTCCTAGAAGTTGAGTGTTGGAAGGTGTGAGATTAGGATCCCAATGAGTGTTGGAAGTCCAAGGAAGGGCTGAGGGTTAGAGAGTGGGCATTCAGAGTTCAAGGAAGAAAGGTGGGGCTAGTAGTGTGTCATTGGGGGTTGGAGGTGACCTCTCCTCCCGTCCCCACTTCCCAGGGCAGGCCTGGAGATAAAGAGGGCAGATGCTCCCAGTCTCGAGAGTCCTGTGTGCTAGTCACTGAGCTGGGTCAGGTAGCAGCTGCTGGCACACTGGGGCTGACTGGCCACTGGGTAGGACATGGCTGTGGAGGTGGCAGGGAGGTGGGCAGCGAGTAGCCTCACAGTGCCTCCTAGACACCCACACCTCTGTTATCCTTCCTTCTGCTGGGTGGAGTGTCTGGGCAGGGCCACCAGGCTGCCCACTGAGGGGATGCCACTGTGCCTCCCCATTCCCTTCCGCCAAATCTGGGCATTAACACCCCAGTCTGTCCCTGTTGCATTTGCCTGTTACATATCTGGTTGAGCTGTGGCTGGGAGGTTCCTGCATACCTGAGGAAGGCTAGGCACCACGCATGCCATCTCCTCCATGTCTGGGCCTGGGGTAAGAGGGCACTTGGTTCCCACATTTCAAGGGCCTCTGGAGTAAAAGCAGGCACCATATGTCTTTGAAGCCAGGATGCAAAGGAGGCGGCCAGATTCCAGGAACCAGAAGGGTCGCCGGTCTATCCACGAAAAAAAAAGCAGTCCCACCTTTGCTTCTACTTTGTTGTGCTTCTCAAACTGCATCTTGCTGGTCCTGAGGAGGTAGCATTAAGGATGGCAGAGGTGGCTGCTGTGACAGTGATAGGGTCTGTTTAAGGGATACTCCGTACTGAGCAAGAGAGAGCAAGGGACTGGGGCACTGGGCTCTCAGGGGCAGGGGAGGTGGAGAGAAAGAGGCCTGGTCCACCACTGGCTAGGAGAAACGTGGAATAGAGGTGGGTGGGGTGGGAACTCTACCATGTCATCACAGCTCCCCTAGCAGACCCAGAGCATCCTCCTCATGCCAGAGGCAGAGCTGGAGAGAGACCAAGATTCAGAGACAGGTAAAGTCTGAGACAGGTAAAGAAGGAAATCAGAGCCAGGTGCCCACAGAGATGCTGCCAGCGATGCCCACACATGCCCAGCACTTTGACTCCTCTGCAAGCTCGTTTTACAGACACAACATTGAGGCCAAGAGAGGTGAAAGAAATATCCCACATTTGATGGCCCAAGCCAAGAGGGTTAGTAGAGGGGAAATGCTGGGCCCCACAATTTCCAAATTCAACTCAGCACCACTCAGGTTGAGAAGGAGGGATTCAGAGGTCATTGAGAAAGACAGGGATGTCCAGGGAGAGAGACGAAAAGAGGCAGAGAGGCATGAGTGGCGTAGGGTGGGGTGGAAGGAGAACAGAGCAGAGGGTACGGGTGCAGTGCCAGAGTCAGAGGTATGGGTGACACCAGCACTGAGGGAAGAAATTAAGAACTATATGCACATACACAAATAGGGTCACATAAAAACTGGTGAGCACCGAGGAGTGTAGGGCTACAGTACTGTGCTGGTGTCAGTGGTCTCGGGCTACAGTTTACATAAGATATCACCACGGGAGGAAGCTGGTTGAAGGGTTCACAGGACTGTATGTGCAGGAACTTCTTGTGATTCTGTATCACTTCAAAATAAAACATTTTTTAAAAACCCACTTTATAGAAACAAAATGGATTTTTTTTTCCTAGAAAGACAGCTGACAAAATGAGATTCTGATTAATGAACGAACTGAATACTAAAATGCAAAGTAAAGAATGATAATGTAAAGCTGGGTGTGGTGGTGCATGCCTGTAGTCCCAGCTACTAGGGAGACTGGGGTTGGAGGATTGCTTGAGCCCAGGAATTTGAGTCCATTCTGGTTAATATAGCAAGACCCCAGTCTCTTAGAGAAAAAATAAAAATAAAAAGAATAATAAAGTGGAAACCGAGAAACCTGGCTTCTGATCCTACCTCTGGCTAGTCTCTTTAACTTTTAAGCTTCATTTTCTTTTTTTTTTTTTTTTTTTTTTTTGAGACGGAGTTTCGCTCTTGTTACCCAGGCTGGAGTGCAATGGCGCGATCTCGGCTCACCGCAACCTCCGCCTCCCGGGCTCAGGCAATTCTCCTGCCTCAGCCTCCTAAGTAGCTGGGATTACAGGCACGCGCCACCACGCCCAGCTAATTTTTTGTATTTTTAGTAGAGACGGGGTTTCACCATGTTGACCAGGATGGCCTCGATCTCTCGACCTCGTGATCCACCTGCCTCGGCCTCCCAAAGTGCTGGGATTACAGGCTTGAGCCACCGCGCCCGGCCTAAGCTTCATTTTCTTTTAAGGGAAATAAGAAAATTGTGCCAGAAAATTGAGACCACATCAAGCTCTGCTATTCCATAGGGTGTATAGGTTTCTGTAAACCTGCATTTTGCTGAATATAGAATTAGTATGTTAAATATAGTACAGAGATTAGGGCTTGTCTAATCTTGCAATAGGCAAGAAGTCTATTTCTGCCCCTTTATATGTGTCTGCCTATTACTATATTAGACATCTTGGTGATATAATAGGACTTAGTCCTTAAAGGACCTGAAGAGGGTAATAGATACATAGGAAGTACCTATATGCATACTAGATTACAAAACAGACAGTGTTATGTTTGTTTATGTGCTAAAATGTGTGATATGGACAATACCTCCTCTAGACATTCTGAAAGAGATCACTGTAGACTGCAGTATATCCAAGGAAGAAGTGCTATTCAGAAATAGAATACCCTGGTTTTATCATTAATTGCATCTCATAATATGTTATAAGGACCAGGTTGAATATCTCATGGACACTCTGTTACACTGGGCCACAGCCACTCATCCGCCTATATTCTAGGTTTAGATTTGCTCTGTAGTTTGAGCTGTTTCATTAATAGAGGGTAAACTTACCTAGATTTACTTGATGTTTTCGCTTTTCTCTTTTTTTCTCTCCTGACTCCTCCTTTTCTTCCAACCAAACTCCAGCTGAAAAAAGGAAGGGTGGGCAGACTGTGGACTCTGGCCTCCCGCTTCTAAGCGTGTCTGATCCTTTCATTCCTCTTCAAGTACCTGATGCACCAGGTAGGTAAATAGAACTGTTTTGAGGTTAAGCAGCTTGATTTGCATGTCCCAGGCCCTGTGGAAAGTTCTGCCTTAAACACCCCATGAAAAGGATTTGAATTCCAAGCCCTAATAATAGGCTGCTATTGTATATTTTTACTGTGTCTCAGAAAGAGGGGTAAACTTGTCTTGAAGGGTACCAGCCCTTAGCAAAGATAAAATCAGTTCAGGTTATACTAAATTGATTTCCATATTATATAAGTGTTCAGTTTTTTCACCCTTGATTGTGTTAATGGTGATGTGAGGGGCCTGTATATTGGAAAGAACATTAGTCCAATATGATTATAACAATGGTGGGGGAGCCTGTAAGCGCATGGTAAAGTGAACAAAATATCAATAGTGGCGATCGTATGATAATGCGATTGTGGGTGACTTCTGTTTTGTTCTTTAATGTATTTTTATTTTATAATATAAAAACATAATAATAATTAGGAAATGTGATAATAGGGAATGTGAATCAGGAGACCTGGGTTCCCTTCCAGGCTCTGCCACTCCCTGAAAACCTCTGGGCTTGACTCTTCATCAGTGAAGTGCATCGGACTGCAGGAATTTGAATATCTCTTGCAGTCTACCATATTTTAATTTTAAGTATCAGTCTTAAATTAGAAAGTGGTTGGTGTGTTCTGATGGAAAGAACTTTTGGAACAGTGATTGGATGCTCCCCATTTGGAGTTGAAGTTGCCAAAACTTTTCCTTCCTACCTTCCTCCCCTAGTCTTTTTGGTGGGGGTAGTGGCGTGGGGAAGAGAATCCGCCCTTTCTCTTATCTATCAGCCTGTTCCCAAAAGCAAATGGTTCCAGCTCCTTAGAAGCAGTTGACAGTTGTTTTGCTTCTGATCATTTTTCCTTTTTCCCAGTGTTGTCCCTGCCAACTCTTAACCTTGAGCTGATTTTTTTTTTTCTCTCCCAGTATGTTAAAGGTATTTGATTGCTTGCTTCAAGATTGAAAGTGACTGTGATGTTCATATCCTTTACTATGTCTGCCCACCGTCACTTACTAAGACAGACTGCAGCTACGGTACCAAGGCAGTTTTTATTTTGTATTTTTAGACAGATTTGTTTAGCCCTCTAAGGAGAAGCAAACACTTGACTTGATCAGGTGGTACTGTGTAACTGTATCTTACTGGACCTAGATATAGCTTAAACATATTGCAAACTACTAAGGAATGATTCAGTGCAGTGTAGTTAAAAGGGAAGAAAGGAATGAAATAGAGGTGCTTTTTCCCTTTACACTTTTCAGGTATGCCTGGCAATACTTGGACAAGTTCATTTTGAACAGAAGGTTAGAAAAGTTGGGCTGTAAACTCCAGCTGGGGCTCTCTGTTTTCTTTTCCTCCCTGTTTTGGTAATCGTGGGATCAGACAAGGGAAAGAGGTGATGGAGGCATTCTCCTTTTGATACCCCTTTGGGTTCTTGCTTTGCTGTTGCTTAGGTAGCCCATGGGCTGCAGAAGCCAGGAAGAAGGCTCCTTTGCACAGGGCAGTTACAGGCCCTCAGGCAAATAACTGTCCTGTGCAGCTGTCACAGGAATCCTCTGGATCAGGGTTGAAGAGCCAGGCACACGCCTAGGTGGCTCAGGTTGTAAAAATGCATCTGAGGCCACCAGAGCCAGCAGGCTGCCATCCTGCTTTCCTTCTTGTCATCTTTCCTGTCTCTTGGTCCTCCATGCTTCTCTCATCCTGGTGGAGTCCTGCTGAAATGTTGCTGGCATATGCTTTAATACCAGTTAAGCCAGGACCTCTCGAGTTTCAGTGGAAAGAACAACTAAAATGAGACATTTTAATAGAGAACTCCAGGAGTGTCTTATTTACTTTCTGATCTGTCAGGCCAGACTCATCTGTTGAAAACATAAGTTAGACAATTAACTCTTCTGTGCTTTGGTGAATTTTTATATCACTGAGGGGGCATAAAATCCAGGCTGCTTACTGCGACCTGCAAGGCCCTAAGTGATGTGGCCATTGGCTACCCCTCTAATCTCAGCTGATAGCACTCTTCCCCACCAGCTTGTCTTTCCTCCAGCAAGCTAAGCTTGTTCCCACCCCATGGTCTTTACAATCGCTGGTGCTCAGCTTGGAAAACCTTCCCTTCAGCTCTGTTTCCTTGTGTCATTCAACATTTGAATCTCAGCTTAAATGTCTTCTCAGAAAGGCCCAGTGTAGTCCCACTGGCACTCGTAGTCACATCCCCTGGCACTTTTTCTTCATAGACCTTATCAGGACATAGTCTGTCTTTCCTCATCTTATTACTCTCTGAGGGAGGGACCTCATCTGTCTTATTTGCCACCTTTGTCAGCTGTACCAAGGACACTGCCTGCATTCACTCAGTGAGTATTTACAGATCAGACAAATGAATGAAATAAAACCAGAGGCTGGAAGCCTTTAGGTGGCCCCATTACCCTCCATTTCTGTCCCAGCTCCCAAGCACCAGATGACTGGTTCCATAGCCTTCTATCTGCACCTCTGCCAACTCCCAGCCAGTCCCCCTACACCCATTCTTTAAGGGTGAATAAAGGAAGACACAGCTCCCAATGTCATGCAGCTGCCAGCCCCGGGGCTGATGAGAGTAGTAGCTAGGCTCAGCAGGTCCTTCAGCCCATCCTTTCACAATGCCCTGAAGAATTGTGCTAAGTATGTTATATTACCACGGTGGCTTTGACTATTCTACTTACTTTAACATTCAACCTTTAGCATATTCAGTTACACAGCTCCTTTATCAAGGCTGCTGCATCCTTTTTTTACATTTTTAAATATTGAATGAGGAAAGGGCTCAGAGTTCAGCGTCTCTCTGGAACCGGGGGAAGCTACAAGTTTGGTTTTACCCCGCAAAAAGCAAGCAGTCCGTCGCACCTCCAGCCCGCTATGGACACCAGTCAGGTTTTTTGCCTGTTTTTCTTTCTTTGTTTTGCATACACGCTCATCTTCTGCTCTTAGGCATACTGATGATAAGACTCATGGAAGGCCGGGTGCGGGGGCTCACGCCTGTCATCTCAGCACTTTGGGAGGTCGAGGCAGGTGGATCACCTGAGATCAGAAGTTTGATACCAGCCTGACCAATATGATGAAATCCTGTCTGTACTAAAAATACAAAAATTAGCTGGGAATGGTGGTGTGTACTGGTAGTCCTGGCTACTTGGAAGGCTGAGACAGGAGAACTGAATGAACCCGGGAGGCAGAATTTGCAGTGAGCTGAGATCGTGCTATTGCACTCTAGCCTGGGCGACAGAGCAAGACTGTATCTCAAAAAAAAAGAAGGATTGGCTGGGCGTGGTGGCTCATGCCTGTAATCCCAGTACTCTGGGAGATCAAGACGGGTGGATCATCTGAGGTCAGGAGTTTGAGGCCAACCTAACCAACATGGTAAGACCCTGTCTCTACTAAAAATACAAAAATTAGCTGGGCATGGTGGTGTGTGCCTGTAGTCCCAGCTACTAGGAAGGCTGAGGCATAAGAATTGCTTGAACTTGGGAGGTGAAGACTGCAATGAGCTGAGATCGTGCCACTGTACTTCAGCCTGGGCAACACAGCAAGACTCTGTCTCAAAAAAAAAAAAAAAAAAAAAAAAAAAAGAATGGAATCTCAGTCTCCTGAAGACCATGCCTTTCATTGATTTTTTTTAACATTTTTATTTTATACTTTTAAAATGATTTCACATACAAGTATTTTTGATTTTATAGACACTGGGAAGTGGTAGGTGGTAGATAATGTCAAGTAACACCTTCATTGTGTGCATGAGGAGGTGAGGCCTTACTGTTGTTCTGACTGTGCTCAGCCACACATTCCTTCTCACTGTCCACACTCCCTAAACAGTGAATGTTTCGTTTATCTTTCCTAGATCAATAAAGCCTTTGACCAGAGAGCTAAATTTAAGGATTCAGGAAATATAAAAATAGATTTGAAACTGTAAGACCTGGGTTCTAGCCATTAGTGGCTAGGTGATGGCGGTCAAATCACTTAAATTATGGGTTCTTATCCTTAAAATTGGCAATATTAAAGCCTACCTTACAGGTGGTCCCAAGGTTCAGATGAAATTACATATTTGAAATTTCTCTGTGAATTTTAAATTGCTATAAAGATGGGAAATGTGTTTCAACTTTGGTTTTATATCCTTATTCCTAATATTCCCAATGGGGCAGTCCTATAGTTATCATAAAGTGATGTTTTTCTCTTGTTGAAATTAAACTTGCTCTTATGACCTTTAATTTTTGTACAACTGAGAGCCATTAAAATAGATTTCCTGAATACAGTGATTGTCAAACTATGGATAAAGGGCACTGGATAATTGTAAGTTAGTTCGTCGGTTCATTTTAAGGAGAATTTTTATTTTTACTTTTATTTTTTTTCTTGTATGCCTGCATTTTTATTTTTCAAAGCAGTATAAAACAAATTTTCTTAGGAAGTCTGGAATATGAAAACCATGAACATTTGTATGCTTACAAATCTGCCAAATGATGCATGGCCAGTGATTCTCAGAGTATTTCATTGATACTCAGATGCTGCTTGTCCATTTATTTGCCTTCTGTATGCATTAGGAAACAGATAAGTAGTACCAATGTTTTAAAATATGGTAGAAAAGAAGCTGGGCCAGGCTCAGGCCTATAGACTCAGTGCTTTGAGGCGGCCACAGCAAAAGGATCATATGAGCCCAGGAGTTTGAGGCTGCAATGAGCTATGATCACACCACTGCACTCCAGCCTGGATGTGACAGAGTAAGACCCTGTCTCTTTAAAAAAGAGAGAGAAAGTGTGTGTGTGTGTGTGTGTGTGTGTGTGTGTGTGTGTGTACACAGACATATGTTAGATTAAGGAATTTTCTCTGAAAATTGGGGAAAATATTTTTAAATCATTCTTTTAAATTGTAATAAAATGTACATAATGAGATTTACCATTTTAGCCATTTCTAAGTGTACAGTGCAGTGGCATTAAGTACACTCTCATTGTTTTGCAACCATCACTACCATCCATCC